CAGGCCCCTCCAGCCCCTCCTCCCGCTAACGTGGCTCTGGGACCCGGTCCCGGCCCAGACTCTGCTACCCGCCCCTCTCGGAGCCCCGGATCCAGTGAGGGGGAGACACGTCGAGCCCCTGGCCCCGGGCCCACCTCACGCGAAGCTGTAGACACCTGGGTTGTCCTCGTTGGGGGCTGGGTGGAAGGGAGGGTAGGTGTGAGCCTGGGGCGGAGAGCTGAGGGTGGGGGAAACGTCTTGGAGATGGGAACGGGTCTGTTTCGCGCGGCTCCTCGGCGCGCCCCCTGCTCCCCCAGAGGAAGGTGGACTGGGGCGGGCGACCAGCCAGGGGGCTTCCTGCTATTGTCCCCAGCCCGGACTCCCCTTCTCCATCTCTTCCCCAGCCCTCGCTAGACTCTGGCTGTGACCTCGGCCACTCCCCAGAGGTGGCTTCGGGGCCAGGAGGGGAGAGAAAGGCTGTTTCCTTTTCCCAGCAAGGCAAGAGGAGGGGAGAAAAAGACGGCCAGGCGTCCCCCCTTTGCTTCAGATGGGGGTAGGAAGCAGCTGGGATTGGTCCCAGCAGGATAAGCCTCACCCCAGGCTGCTCAGATACTACTCCCCCAAAACAGCTATGGAAAGCCCTCTTAAAGCTATATCACAGTTAAGTCTAGGGGCCCATGCAAAGGCCAACCAAGTGTTTTTAGAGGCTGGACCTAGGTGGGCGGTGGGGTGGAGAGAGACTGGGTGAGAGGGAGGCATGGCCTGCTCTCCTTGGGCAGAAGGAAGGGGCTGGGGGTGCCTGCTACCAACATTTTGCCTAGAAATGAAAAACATGTAAATGAGATGCAAATTAACTTCTATTGTCCCCAGCTAGGGCGATTTCGCTAAGAAAGCTGTTGGATTCTGAGGGTTTTAAACGGGGGAGTGGTCACCATGCCCCACAAACTCTCCCTGTTTCGTCTTTCCCAAGACTGGTCCTGCAGTTTCAGGAGTTTTTGGCTAGGAGCCAGCCCCAGCCCCTGCCCTCACATCTCTGGGCGTGAAACAGCCAGCACCTTCGTAACCAAGCTCAATATCAACACACACACACCCTTCCAGGGCAGCATCTCCTGTACCCTAGCCTCACTAGACTTCTGAATTTTCACATTTACTTTTAAGGGATGTGGTAAGGAAGTGTAGTAACGCAGTCTCTTCCCTCCTCTGTCCTTTCTTCCATCAGGTCAAAGGTCTTCTATCTTCCTCACACCCCAACAGCAGTCACCACCCCAGGTAAGGAAAGGGCAGGGGATAGGAGCTGGCCTGGCCTGGGAGCAGGGAGAGGGTCTGGCTGTTCTCCCCACTTGCCAGAGACCTCAGTTGTTTCCTGGGTGAAGATATTAGTTGCCCAGGGCAACTTGGGGGGGGGGCAGGAGCGGAAGTATATGAGACAAGCTGTGTCCCTTCCTCTTCCCCTGGGAGCACCAGCATCCAGAAACATGGTGGAGGTGTGGGGGAGGGAGACTTGGCTTTTTAGCACCAGAGGGTCGTTAGCTAGCTGACTGCTCTGTCCCTGGGGAGGGGGTCATCATTAGGTGTTACTACCCCTTTCCCTCCTCCAGCTCTCTTGAGGCCCCATCTGACGTCAACCTCCCCACCAGTGACGCTGGATTGGGGGTGGGGTACACTTGGGTCCTGGTTCCAAGAGTGGAGTTGTTGGGGAGATGGAATGGGCTGGGCCTGGAAGCCCAGGGTCTCTTCTTTAGGGGACACGGCAAGATGGGCAACTAAGGACTGGTACAGGACAGCTGCCTGTTCACAAAAAGAAAGATTCTTACCCTTCCTGACCTGATTTCTGGAAACTGCTCAGACCCTCACTTCAATTTCTGGGAAAGGCGGGAAGCTGGTATACACCCCCCACTGAGGGTCCCAGCGATAGAGGGGAGGCTGATGGGTGGGAAGGAGGGTTGTCTCCATCCCTTCCACCCTGACCTTCGTTTCCTGGTCTTTGGACTATGGTTGTCTGCCTGTCATTGAATTATTTATATTTTCATTTCGAGGCAGCCCAAAGAGGGAAGGAAGAGAAAGAGGGACATGTGCAACCATTTCTTCTCAGCAATGTAGCCCCTTCTGTCCCTGCTCCTCATGGGGGGGGGCTATCCTGCACTGTCCCCTCCCCCCACCAAGTAGAAGCACTGGTTCTTAGGAGCCAGGGAGGGAGCAGGGGGATAGAGAGGCTGGGAAGGGGCACAGTGGTCGAGCAGACAGCTGCAGCCAGAGCTAAATTTAGCCTCTGATCTGGCTTTGATGCAGATTTGTTTCTGGCTAAGACAGCAGCCCCCCCCCCAGCTTCTCCCTAGCAATGGGGAGGGCCCCTGAAGCATGAGCTAAGACTAGGACAGTGACCCTTAGGCTGCCTCCTCCCACTCTGTTCTTCCTCAACCCTAAAGAGGATGGTGGCTGTGTCACAGCTGCCTCTGCCTGGGCGCAGGCGCTGCGCTGCCTCTAGGCCGCTGTGGGGGTCTGAGAGGTAGGGGGAGGCAGACTTGGTGCCCTCTTCCTCCTCCCAGTGCCAAGGAGTCACTATTTATAATTTTAAGGCTTCGGTGTCTAATTATAGCTGAGAAGGGGTTAGCAAGAGGGGGGCCAGGAGGTGTCACCTGCTGAATATCCCAGGCCCAGTCAGGAGAGAGGAGGAAAGGCAGAGCGAGAAGGCTGGGAGGGAGGGGGAGTGGGTGTGTCCTGTCCTTACCTGGGGTCACGCCGGCAGGCCTCACTCCAGCCTGTTGGGGCCAGTTGGAGAGGGTAGGGCCTTGAGTGACAGTGACAGTTGGTTGGGACGGAGGCAGTGCCAGAGAGAGGGTTCTTTTTCCCATTCCATAGGGTCTTCTGGGGATAGACCAGGGGAGGAGCCTGCTTGTTTCAAGGGTGGAGAGAATTTGGTCCCTTCCCCCACTTTTCTGTCTCCTCTTTCAGGGCCAGCATATGGGTGAGGGGGCACCCCCTGGGGGCTGAGCTGCCCAGCACAGGATGCCCCGTGCCCCCTGCTTCATGCCCTTGCTGCTACTGCTGCTGCTGCTCTCACTTCCCCACACCCAAGCCTCCTTTCCCCGGGACCCCCTCCCTCTGCTGATCTCTGACCTGCAAGGTGAGTGCCCAGTACCACACTTCCGGGGGTGTGAGCTTAGAAATTAGACACTGAGACCCCTGTGTGGGAGGCAAGATGCAGGAAGGATCCCAGCCTCAAGGAAGCTCAGAGCCTGACCAGCAAAGGGGAGCAGACAGATAAAGAGAGCAGGCACCTCCCGTCAGTCGCTTCTCATCCCTGAGCCTTTCTTTACTTTGAGGCAGCACTGTATGGTGGTTAAGAACATGACTCTCAGCCAGACCCTGCCTTAACAGGTGGGAATCCCTGCTAAGCTACTCACTAGCTGTGCGACCTTGGTCTAGTAATTCACCCTTTCTTTGCCTCAGTTTCCTCATTTGCAAAGTGAATGCTTTGTATGTGTTTGCCATTATCACTAGTAGAAAAGGAAGGATTGGGACTAGTTCAGTGGTTCCTAGCACCTTTCACCTCCCTCTCCGCTATACCAATACTATTACTAAGCCCACGTCCTACTGTGAGGGAAACCATAAACCCACTTTTTTTCTGAGAAGAATTTTATCTATTTGTAGGTTCCTGTTATATATGTAGGATTTAGAGTATTTTTAAGGATAAAAGAACTGCACTTTGGGGGATAGATAAGACCAGCAACCACTTATATGTGCCTGACGCAGTTCTAAGCACAGTGTGAATGTTAAACCATCTACCCCTGAACGCTAGACTCCCTTTGAGCGCTGATTGTGGTTTCCATGATCAGGCCAGGTGGATGCTGGAATTGGTCAGAGGCGGCAGAAACCTTGGAGGGCTGAGGTGGCCTGTGAAGAGTCTTGAGGGGAGGGTGCAAAGAGAGGGCTGGGAGAAATGGGGTGAGTAAAAGCTCCAGAATGGACAGTGTACTTTGTGGGAGCAAAAGGGAGTCACTAGCCCTAAGGCAGCGCCAAGAAGGGATTGGGCTCAGCTCTGGAGTTGCAGAGCTGAATCCAGGTGCCTGCTGCTTCCACGCTAAATGAGCTATGCAAATTCCTTAAGGCTTTAAGCCTCAAGCTCCTCATTGTAAAATGGGACTTAGTACCTACCTCATAGGGTTGTTGTATTAAATAAGACAATTCACCTAAGGTGCTAATACAGAGCTTGAGAGAGGTTAAGTGCTCAGAGTTAGCTGTTATTTTTATTACTTAATTAATATCTTACAGCTCATCTCATATATCCACTGTGTCCATGGCTGGGTTTCCTCTGGTTGGAGAGGGTGTTGAGGGAGTGTGTGGCATCCTGGCTGGCTCTCAGCACCCACCTCTCTGTGCCTTTCAGGTACTTCCCCATTATCCTGGTTCCGGGGCCTGGAGGATGATGCTGTGGTTGCAGAACTTGGGCTGGACTTCCAGAAATTCCTGACCTTGAACCGGACATTGCTAGTGGCTGCTCGGTAAACTAGCAGTAGCACAGTTGTGGGGCTGACACACATGCTCCTGTACAGACATGGGACCTGCATGGCCACTGTAGGATCTTGCAGGGGACACATGCAGGTGTACAAACTACGGGACATGGACATGCTTGGACCCAGAGCACAAATGCCAAGGCATGGAGGAAGGGGGAGGGCAGGGGGCAGGAGGCTTGCACTGCTTGTCCCTGAACAGCTGAACGTGGACAAGCTGCAGACTAAGGAGCTCAGGTGGGGTGCCTTGGCTTCTCCCTGATCCCTCTTTACTTCTCTCTTCAGGGATCATGTTTTCTCCTTTGATCTACAAGCTCAAGAAGAAGGAGAGGGGCTGGTGCCCAGCAAGGTGAGGGGCTGGGTGGGAGATGCAGGCATGGAGATGAGACTGGGGAAGGTCTAATGGGAGTCAAGGGGGTGGGAAAAAAAATCCAAAAGAAGCACTATGCAGGTTGCCCCATGATTTTCCCTCTTCCACTTCTCCCTTCAGTATCTAACATGGAGGAGCCAAGACATGGAGAACTGTGCTGTGCGGGGGAAGCTGACGGTGAGGAGTGGAATGAGAATTTCGAGGGAAGGAGATTCCCCCGCCTCCAGGCTCTGTCCAAGCAATTCTCTACTGTGCCCAATTTCCCACCCACTTTCCTCATCTCAGGACAAGAGGAAAATGTGCAGGAAAGAGAATTAATGAGTTTTAGCTTCTTCCACGTGCTTCACAAAAACGAAAAGTGAGACTCCAACAAAAGGCCAAAGGACTTGCCCAAGGCCACAGGGCTAGTGAATAGCTTAGTTGGAACTTTACCCAACATTGCTCTGACTGGTTCAAGGGGAGGGGACTTACTTCCTGTGACCCCCTGTCCCAGTCCCAGGAACCCTGTTGCTGACCTAGAGTTTTGGGTTCTCTAGGATGAGTGCTACAACTACATTCGTGTTCTCGTTCCCTGGGACTCACAGACACTCCTTGCCTGTGGAACGAACTCATTCAGCCCCGTGTGCCGCAGCTATG